TGAAGTTGTTGTTTGGCTTGGTTCTCTAAGCTTTTCCACCATAATGGCTTCAGGCGCCATATTTGAAACATTTCCAGCCTCCAAGGCCAAATTTATCCCGTTTTCTGCCATATAAGCCAAAATCCTTGCCAAAGCATTAGACTTAGGCATCATGATGAATTTTCTCTTCCCACCCTATGGGTTCAAACTCCCCTTCTGTAGTTGGATATGTATCTAATTTTTCTTGGTCCCAAATGAAACCATGAGTGGGGTGTAAGGTTAGAGACTTGATTGCATCAGGATGCGACTTGAACACTGCACCTTCAGGATCGCACGGGGGAATGGTAGTTAATGCTTTGTCAAAATTCTTCCTATTGACCATATTCACATCAACAGTAAAATGATTGTGGCCTGCCTCAATATTCTCCATAATCCCATCTTGACGCCATATGCATAAGTGTTGATGTAGATTTGGTGGTACTTCCCCAATGCCATGTATCCACCCACGCCCTAGCAACAAATTATAGTTTGCTTTAGACGCAATCACCAAAAACAATGTTAGCCTTGAAGTCGAGCCAACTGACAAATTCACTTGAATCACACCCAGTATGTGACTTGTTTTTCCTTCATAGTTCGAAAAAACCATATCATGTGGTTTGAGGTTAGTGTCAAACTTGTCAATTCTTTTCAGCAATGATTGTGGCATCACGTTCACAGCAACGCCACCATCAACGAACACTTTGTTCACAGAGAGACCATTAACTTTAGCCCTCATAAACAAAGGCTTGAGATGGTACATCATATCATATGTAGCCTTCTCAAATATTTCATGTTGTTCTTCCACTACCCCATTATTCATGACATAGTAGCATAGAGATTTCTGGCCCGCAGATTCTTCGCACATGGCTTCTTCTTCGTCCCCAAATGCTTTTGACGCGAAACCATACTCATTAGACAGGACCGACACAATATTACAATGAATAATCAAGCCATCTTCTGAGTTATCTTCAAAGTTATCAGATAATCCATCATTCATGTTGTCATCAGGATCTTAAGCTTTTGCTGGCGGCACACTCACAATCGACATCAACAACCTCTCTTTTACTGGTCGACGGTGCATTTCCTTCTGATCGCGCTCATCTTTTGATGGAGCAACTTTTGATGCCGCTTCTCTTGCAGATTTTTGTTTCTTTAAAACCTTCTCCACTGAGTCTTCATCATAGGATTCTTCCCTTTTTATGTAGGAGGAACCTGATACTTATTTGAGGTGATCCCAACTTCAACAAATTGAGAAGAACTTGATCCCTTATCCATTATTTCCCACTTATGACTCAAACCTGAACCTTTCTTTACTACCTTCCAATTTTTGTTTGCCCCCTTAGATAGAAAGGACGAACCCAGTTATTGTTAGAAGCATCAGTTGGTGGCACAAAGGTCCTTTGATACGGAAACTTAGGTTTTCCTTGAGATACTTGGACTTTGTATGGCCCTTTCGCATGGTCGAACACCACCTTTAGATTTTTCCTTTAAGGGTGTTTCTTCTTCATCGCCTCAATTTTCTTTGCAGCATTTTCATCATAGACCACATTATAATTTGAGCATAACATAGACCTGGAATTACTCAACTTGCATCTATTCAGAAAATCCACCAATTCCTTCTCAAGTTTGAGAAACACGACTTTCATCAATTCAACAACTATTTCTTCAAACAATTCCTCATTTTTGGTTAATGAATTAGGAAAATATCTTAATTTTAAACCCTCATCATTGGAGATATCACCAACTTCTGTTCCGTACCTAAAAATATGTTCAATGGTCGACTCATATAGCATCACCATCAAATTTGGTAAATTTAGATACTTTACATCTCCTAGGTAATTTTGCCTATCGAATATAATCAGATAAGGGAGAAGAATAATTAGACCTCTGAAGGCCAACATTTATCCATATGGTGTTAACACTTCTTCTACTACATTCACTATGTTGTTACGCCCAATAGTGACATTTCTTAACACTCGATCAACATCTTGGTTCCTCCTAATTACGACTGACCTAGATTCATATTGTTCAACAAATTCTTCCTTTTCATAAGTGGGCACTTCCACCCTTAAATGTCTAAAAGGACGCTCATTGTTGCTTCCCTTCAGTTCTTTAAAAACTCTTAACAGCCTTTGACGCGTCTGAGTTGGTTAGACCCCTAATGACTTGATTAATTTTCCTATTTAGTCAACTACGAAATTGAAGGCGACTCCCATATACTGAGTTAAAACATCCACTAACTCTAAATTACTCTCATCTATTTATTGCCTCAAAGGCATAATAGAAGTAGTACTCAAAGATGGTGTCGACTGAGGGATATAACCAACACCACCTGGTCGATTACCTGGGACATAACTGCCTTAGTTTCCAGTGGCCACTGCATTTTCTATATATATGGATGGGTTCGACTGTAACCCAACCATTATGGAATAAGACATACCATATTGATAAGGGACATATGATGATCCTGGACCCCCTAAAAAGAGTGATCAATTTGGATCAAATAGTGATATCCCATGCCTAGGTTCTATCGTTGTGACTGTTATCACTGAACCATGAACAGGAGTCAATCTCACATGAAATAAAACCGTCACTCTTTGAGTTGTGACACTCACTGGTATGACATCCACATTTTGTGAATTATCATGGATTAAAATATAATTAACATCAATTTGTGAACTAACAAAGTAAGTGATAAAAGATGAGTTGCAACCAAAATCTCATGAAAATTTTAAAAGTCTCAAAACAACTTCATTCACATTATAATTTTAATTAATGAACATCACATAAAAAACAGTGAAAATCTAATCACTAAACCATCATCAATATCTAAAATAAAGTTATGCTCATAAATGTAAAAGAGATTTAAGCTTATGAATCGAAGATGCTAAAATAGTTTTCACAACGTCAAACATTCATTTCATTCATCAAAACTAAAATCAATTAGCATTAAGCCCATGTATTACTTGAATCAAATTCAAAGCATGCAAAACAATAATTCGAACAAGGCTTCTATTATGTTATGAGCAACCGAACAACAACAACAAAACACATATTGATACTCTCCAATTTCATCTCAAACATGTTCAAAACAAATGAAAATGAGTTCAATGTCGCAATCACTTTTATTATTCAAAATTAGCTCAAACGAACCAAGAATGTCATAAAACCTTCAAATTAACTCAAACAACTGATAATGACGCCAAAATATTTACTCAGATTTGACATAGATGTTATCGAAGCTTCATCACAAATTTAAACCTGCATTACACAAATAATGTCACTAAAATTTATTGTTCATAGCTAACACACATGCTATCAAAATCCCCATCAAAATTCAATGTTTAGAACTAACTCAGATGCTATCAAAATTCCTTCAGATTTAACGCGAATAACACAAATAATATCAAAATTTAATATTCAGAATTAATATAGATGATATCAAAACACATTCAAATTTAACCCTAAATACACAAATAATAACATCAAAATTTAATGAGTATAAAGTCTGAAATTGGTTGTTGGATGAGCCTCTACCTCTACCATAACCTCTTTTTGCATCAAAAGCATTAACCAACAAATTTGAAGTATCAAGGTTAGCATTAAGAATCATGTTACTCTCTTTTTGAGAAACAAAGGAATAGATCTTGTTGATGGATGAAAGTGTTTCAAGCAATAAAACTCAAGTCTTAAGAACTAAAAAATTCCATTCAAGCCAGTCGAGAATTGAATGGCGATCGAGTATGTATGATCTTGCTGAACACATAGCTTCACATCTGCATTTATGAACTTGTGTACACTCAATTCATTCCATAATGCTTTAATTTCTATGAAATATTCAAGAACAGTTTTGAAAGCTTATTTTAGAGAATTAAGTTGAGATGGTGGCAACTCGAACTCTATCAATTAGTTAAAATCTTTCTTTCAAATCAATCCCAAACTTCAGTTACATTGTCATAGTATAATATTGTTTGAACAATAGATTCAGAATCTTCTCCAACCAGCATAATTGATGCCATCAAGTTAAAGGGTGGCTGTAACTGAATTTGGTCCATCGCTGGGTGAACATAGAATACAGAATCGAGTTGAGGTTAGACTACAAGTGTATTACGAGGTGCCATCAAGTGAAGAAATCCAACTGAACGAATCAGTGAGAAACGAAGAGAAACTCAGTGGAAAAACAAAAGAGATGCCAAAAAACTAAGAAAAATGCAACTGAACAGTGAAAAAACAATCTAAGAAGAGAAACCAAAGAATTGACAAATCAGTTGAAAGAAAGTAAAGAAACAAATTTCAAGATTGTATAATAACTAAATGATTTACAGAAACAACAAACCAGTATTTGATTGATCTTGATGAAGCAATTGCAACAGACTCAAATAAATGAAGAAAAGAATGGATCGATAATGGAAAAAGAAGAAGATTCAAGGTGAATGAAACAAGTGTAGCAGTGTAATTTTTCATCAAGTCCAAATAGAGAGTACAACCACTTATTTATACATTTACATTGATGGAAGCCTATGCTAAGTACATGGAGGTACTTATGATAGTTTCTCTTCTAAGTATACTATATTCACTAACTATCAAATAAGGGACAGTGAAATAGCTATTATTGTAATATTTATGATACAAAACCTGTATTTAAAAGTTTGATGGGTAAAGCATCAGCACCAGTGGTCTAGTGGTAGAATAGTACCCTGCCACGGTACAGACCCGGGTTCGATTCCCGGCTGGTGCATTTAACATTTTGAAAAAAATCTCAATTTTATGAATACCCGAGTGATTATTATCTTGATAGTTAATCAGAACTAAACTAGCTATATTAGTATTCTCATAGATATTACATAAGTGAAAACCATACATCACGAAATAACTAAAAGAAACGAAAAGAAAATTAAACTAGATATAATATACACCATCATAACAAAATTAAACTACATATAATGTACACCATCACAACACAAGAACCATATTCATCCCAATTACATTACATTGGTAACACTTTCATTAAGCCTAGCAGCCGCAGCAACCGAAGCCGCCACACCACCAGGAGTAGCACTAGCATCAGAACTATTCCTCATCTCCGCACTCGCCACCCCTGCAGCATCTTGCCTTGTCGCCGCCTTATCTGCCGGCAACTTCGCCGTAGCTCCTGTCAGAACATCCCTCAGCTTAATCTTCTCCTCCTCACTACAATCAGCATTAAAAGCCGCTGCAGATTGAGCAGCGGAAGCTAACCCTCCCGGTGTTATAACATTACTCCCCGTAGCTCTCGCCTCCGCCGCCTGTATAGCTGCAGCGTCACTCTGCTCCACTGGCTTGTGGCCCAGTGTATATGATGTCGCCTCCAGTGCTTCCCCTATGGTTAAGGCACTCTCTCGAACTGGACTGGTTGGACCACACTGAACCGGAGTAGGTTCAACAAATTGTCCAACAACCTCAAAATAAAAACATATGTTAGCAGAAGACGAGGTTAATATAGGAAAGTTGAAAAAGAAAACTTCGTAAAAGGAATTAACAGAGTTGCTGGTTAAGAACCTGTCCACCGACTGATTCAGTTACTATGCGTCTTCCTGGGAGTTGAGTTTCGGTGACGGTGACGCCACGATCGCCGGTGACATCTGTGACATCTTGGTGGCCGACGATTCCTGCTTGCTCATTCTTAGCAGCGGCTGCTTGCATGACGGACGCTACTCCTCCGGGTTGGGTCTGTCCCAACACACGGCTCTCGGCGCTCTGCATCATGGCGGCATCTTCCGGCGCAACGGGCTTCTGTGCGAGGTCGCCGGAGACGGGTAAAACGTCGCCGTATTTGATTGGTTCTTGATTGGCATGACGTTTGGGCTGTTCCTGGCTCATTTTGCTTTGAATAGACTAGAGCGAATATGTATGGTGATGAGATAGTTTTCAGAGTTTTGGATACTGATTTGAAGTTGGATGCATTTAAAAGGTGTATTAATAGTTTGCAATGGAGGTGGAAAGGAGAGTTCGTGGCAAAGCATTACACATGGCAAGGAATGGCAGGGACACGCGGCATATTTGTTTGGAACCCACATTGCATTTGTTTGCAAAATTTATTAATATTTTAATGTTAACTAAATGAGTTAAAAATTATTTTTCATTTGATTGACTGTGGTAGTGGCAAGGTAATAATAGTATTTATGTTTTTAGTATTTTTTTTAGATCAACACAATGGTATTAAAAGATTAGTTGGATCAAACTATCGCCCGACTATTTTATATCATGTTATATATTTTGTAGTAGTGAAAAGTATTCTGTACGTGATCTTGCCAACCGTGAATCATTAAAGTGTTAGTTTAGGGAGCTTCTAATATATGAAGTCGTAGAAATGACACTTTGAAAAGTTATCTGGGAATAGATTTAGTATTATATGAGGTTGTACAATTTTTATTTATCATCAAATATGAAAAATATGTGTTGTACCCTAAAATTTGCCTTCTCATTTATTAAATAATTTCTCACAAGATCTTCTTTGATTCAAGACTGTATAAATGTTGATCAACTCAAGACACCTCCTCTAGACTTATGACTGAAAATTAGGGTTTGAGTTTGCACAAGGACAAATGAACTTTTAATGCCTCATATGACTTTCATGGATCATTTTGGACTCTCAAGATTGTTCATGTCAAGTTTCAAGTCTTGGATCACATTTTTCCCCAGTCAATTGATCAATTGACTTAAAATCAACTGTATTGGGAAAAAGTCAACTATGGTCAATTTACAGTCAAACTTCATAATTTTTAGTCCATATCAATATTATGAACCCATATATGTCAATTTATCAAGTTTGGATCACAATTTCTCAAAAAATTTGATCAGATCATCAAAAGGGTAAAATAGTCAAAATTAGGGTTTTGATTGAGAAGGTGCAATTTTTGATTTTTTGACCTAGCAAATGATTGATTGGTTCAAGACATGATCTCAATAATTCAAATACTTCATTTTGACCTAATGACATGGTTCAAAACTTTTCTCAAGATCAATTGATTGACAGTTGATTTTCAGTCGACTGGTGAAAAGTCAACTGTACACTGAAAAGTCAAACTTTGATTTTTTGATCAAAATCAAGTATCAAAGATCACAGTTCCTCAAGACATGTCAAAATATGAAACTTGTTCATCAAGAAATCAAAAAATCAAGATTTCATTTCAAAAAGTCAAAATTTCTAAACTTAGAAATTTTTTGAAGTGTTGGAAAATTCATATTTTTTCACAACTTTGAGCCAAATTTTCACTATGATGCAAGATGATTCAAAAGAAACTTCCAACATAAAAGTTGTAGATCTCAATGAGATATAAAACATTGTAGAACATAACTTCTTCTATAAATGCATGGGTTTCAAGTTATGATTTTGTGAAGACATGTTCATGAACCTTGGAAACTTAGTGAAATTTTGCCCTAGTTTAGGCAGAATTTTGACCTAACTTCATGGCGATTTTTCATATAGTTCCAAGATGAATTTTCAAAAATGTCCAACATAGAGGTTGTAGAGGATGTTATAAACTTTACAAAATATCCAAGAACTCATTGAGATCATACTTGAGAAAGGAGAATCGAAGGCAAGAAGTTAAGATTTTCAAACTTGAATTACAAGCCATTTTATGAAGAACACTTTATCCAATCTTCAAGTATGTTGTACAAATCTCACTTTACAGGATTCTAACTTGCCTTTCACTCCATAATTAAATATTTACACAACTGTTAGAGCTTTGATCCAAGCATTTGAGGCATTATCCAAATGGTTATTCCATTAATGGCACAAAGGTAACACTTCCATTTTGGAAAAGTAAGCTTTATTGCAAAAGTCAATGCATAGAGTTCCCAACTTGTTTCATCTGAGTACAAGAAATGTCAAAGGCAAAAGCAACATGTCTAGAGCCTCCTATAAACTCAGTTCATGCTTGTACTATGCCTTGAAACCATGTTTTCCACTTTTCTTCAAAATCAAGTAACATAGTCATAACTCTATATCTCACAGTTCTGTCAACCTCAAGGGCTCTATCCTTTTTATTATAATTATACAAGTCTATTGCAAGAGGATGGACGAATACACAAGCTCTCAAACTCTCCCAAACTCAGAATTGCATAACAGACCACCATTGTTGCATATTCTGACCAAAAACTCCAAACTCAGAATCTACTCGTGCGTTTCTTGGCCTTTTAGTTCCTAAAGCTCTTATACATCAAATACAAACCATCCCACACCCTGTTACATGATTGTAACATCATCTTCATCAACTTCCATAACCAAAAAACAGAGCTTGCACCTTGACTTCTCTAGCACGATTCAAACACTCCCAACATCAAGTCATCATTGCATTAGCTTCCTGGGAACTTGAGGAAGCTAACCAGATCATCACAACTCCTTGATAGTAGCTCAAACTCATTTCACAATTTCCAGTTTTGAGGTACATTTTCAGAACTTCTATCTTCTCATTTAGGCATTGTTAGGCTTGCATTTGTGAAGATAAAATGTAGACATCATTGCCCTGAAGCTGTACATGTCCATAGATTTCATTTATTTTGATTGAGCTAGGAGAATTTTAGGATTGAATCTCTGAAAATAATTAGGTCAGAATTTGGTACTTTTAGAAATTCTCATTCATCTTTGATTTATAGCTTATGATATTTATATGGTTGGATTCGTATGGAAAAATGGAGCAACTTTCATGTTTGCATATTTCATTTTTGTTAAGAAATGGTGAAGTTACAGGATCCAAGGCTGGAGGTTGAAGATGAAGTTACATTCAGGACATAACTTGTGTTATGTATTTATTGATTTGTCAATGTTACCGGATGTATAGTCACCCCAGTGGTAAGGCAGCGCACATTTCATGCTTAGGGCGTGGGTTCAAGCCCCAATGCTGCCACTTTTCTCATTTTTTCACAATTTTTCTCTCTTTTTGTCACAAGCTTGCAGCGCTGGGCCTCAAATTGTTAGGCTTTTATTTTTGCTAACTTTTCACCCTGCCATTTACTTTTACATCCCTGACTCAATTATTTTCTTTTATCATTTTATTTTCATTTTTTATTTTATTTTGTTTAATTTTTCTTTAATATTTTTTATTATTACTATTATTATTATTATTATTATTATTATTTTTACTAATAAAAAATCCTAAAAAATATTTTATTTATTATTTTCATATTTATGTTTTATTTTTCTTTATAAAGATAAAAAGAATAAAAAATATTTTTTCTTAAAACAAATTAGTTTTTTTCTTAAAAAAATTAATATTTAGATTTAGGTTTAATTATTATTTTATTTTCTTTAAAATTAAAATTAACTTAGAATTTAGGTGTGTTTTAATTAATTAATCTTCATATTATTTTCATTAAGTTAAAACCTTTTTCATAAAAAACCCTAAAAAACATTTTTAACTTAATTTCTTTCTTAATTAGTTTAAATTTAATTTTGTTTATTTTTGACTAATCGTTTTCTCTAATTAGGTCAAAACTAAACCCTTTCATAAAAATCAAACAAAAATTTTTCTTTTTCCATTTATATCCTTGTACATTATTTATTCAAATTCTTGTATATTATTCAATATTGTTGTAATAGATAATTAGGTTTAATTTTCTTGCAAAATCCGTATTTATAAATTTGTATACCCCCCCCTTAATGATGTAATAGCGTAGTAAGTTTACTTTCCGCAATTTATCGCTTTACATAAATGCTAGTAATTAGGGTTTGTATGGAAAGATTAAAATCAACAAGTATAAAACCCTAATACAAGATAAACAATGCATGTAAATCAAACACACTTGCACCCTTACGGTAATTCCACTTTATTTCCTTATAAAAATGGCCATGTTATACAGGTGGGATATCTTATCCAAAAGCAATCAAAAATATAAGATCATAGTCCCTCGATGACGCTGTCAATGTTGCCTTTCAAAATGATCTTAGTCCCTCAAAGAGAAATGTTAAGATATCTCACAACATTGCTATCATGGCTATACGATGACCCACGCTCGTCCCTTTACATCCAAAGATAAGGCTTCTTACCAAATCAATGGTAAGATAGCAATATCAAAGGAAAGGAAGAAATGAACTAAGACTTTTGAGTAGGTAGAATGTTCCTAGTTGCTTGCTCATTTTCAAATCAAAACATCCTTGCTTATTTTCAAAACAAACACCAAACACTTTCAAAAATACTTTCAAAACATTTTCCAAACATGAAATATTTTCAAAAGCTCAACACTTTGTATACGTTCTTACGAACGGGAACTATTACAAAGTTTGCCTAAACGAAGGCGCCTTTTCAAAATACTTTCAAAACCCATATCACAAACACATCTTCAAACAAAAAACAAGTGATCTAGCAAGCAAATAAGAGCCCATAGATAACTATGGATGAAAAAGGTGCTAACATATTCCCTTTTCATAACCTACCCCCCGAACTCAAGAAATAATCTCGAAAGGTCTTTCCTGTTCTTTTCAACCTTTCCTTTTGGATAAAAGAAAAGTTGGTGGCGACTCTTGCTATCCGCAATAATTGCGATCAAACGCAAAACATCCCAAGTCAGTTCTCCCACCATGTTACAGACCCCCTCTCTCCTCTGCTCGACTGAAGATCATCCTCCGGCCACTCTCCAGGTTCTGGTCAACCGCAAGATCATAAGCAAATTATCAATACAAGGCAATTTCATAATTCAAATTTTGTTTTACTTTTTCTATTTTGTTTGCAAAAACGTTCGATGACTAAATTGAATGAACATATGCATATAAATGTGATTACTGTTGACAAATATATGCATAAAAAACAGGAATAAGCATTTACTAAAGAATCTAGGAGTTGGGATAACATTCGAGCCGTCCACAAACCCCCACAGAGCAACCTCCATGGGATTGTCCCCCCAGAGTCATATTTATAAGCTCATATTCAAAAGAGATACATTCCCCCGCAAGTCTAATATGCCTTCAAGACAGAAATTGGGGCATCTTCCAGCTATTAACACGACCTTGCTCCCCAGTAGATCCCCTTAGCGGATAAAGGAGTTTGATCATTTCTCTAGCATATAGCGGAAACTTCCTCCGCACAGCCTACTGAATTCCAATCCCCATCAGAGTTTGCTTTCTCAGCATAGTTCACAAGAATTTATTTCCCCAGTTGAGTTTATTTCTTCAACATTACAAGATCACGTGCATAATTCTCTTCTCCAACAAGATCTACTTCTCCAGCAGGGTTTATTTCCCCAACAGGGTTTATTTCCCCAGCAAGGTTTATTTCCCATACAGAATTTAATTTCCCAAAGAAGAGTTCATTCTCCGATTACTACAAATCACAGGAAAAATTCCTCTCTCTAGCAAAGGGTAGTCCGGGTTGATATCCTCAGAGAGTTGCTACAGAATCTGAAACCAGACTAAATATCATCCTCAGGAGATGTCATTCAACTTTTTCTTCCCCGGACGGGGCAACTATGTCTTTATAACCAGGCAAATATTAACTTCCGAAACAAGACGGGGCAACTATCTATATGACATGACGGTATGAATTCCCAAAACAGGACGAATTTACCAACAAAAGCAGATTGTGAAGCAATTCCAGAAACAGGATGAGGTGAATATCTACATGACAAGCTTTTCCCTTAGAGACTAAATCTGACAAGTAGTTACTTAAGCACTTTCCCCATAGAGAGTCATTCTGAAAAGCATCCTTCAGATACAATCCAGCGATGATTCATTTTGATAATCATTTGGATACAGTCAAGCGTAGACTCATTTTTACCCAGGTTTTAGATACGGTCCAGATACGGTCGAGACATAGATCTATTTTGATACACATTCTAGCATATATTCTAGATATACTCCAGATACGATTAAGACGTAGATCCATTATGATACTCATATCCTCTAGATACCATTCAGAGACGGCCCAGACGTAGGTCTGTTCTGATATTCATCCCAGTATACATCTAGATACATTCAGGCGTATGTTTATTCTAATACAGATCTCAGATACAACCAAGCGTAGGTTCATTCTAACACAGATCTCAGATACAGTCGAACAAAGACTAATTCTGGTATGCTTATATATACAATCAAGACATAGAATCATTCTAGGACATCATTCAGATACAATCAAGACATAATATTCATTCTAAAACTCCCTAGTACGTCTACTAGATACAGTCGGATGCGGGCTCATTCTAGCATACTTCTCAGATACAGTCGAATATAGACTCACTCTGCTACTCCTATTAGCAGTTACTTTGGATGGCATCTATAAGCCCATATCTAACGACATTCTGTCACCTCTCCGAATGGCATATTTAAGCCCATTCAAGCAATATTATCAACCAACAACGTTACCTCCTATAAATACAAATGCAAATTTCCGGGCACTTAAATGTTCAATCCTCTTCTACCTTCAGATCACAAATGGCGGGCATGTCAATCTAACTCCTAAGGTTTAATAAGATTTAACAGGGGCAGTTGTTGTACCCCAAAATTTACCCTCCCATTTCTTCAAGACATTCTCCTAGGATTCTCAAATTCTGAAGGTGGCTCAAGAATTGATCAGACAAATTCTCCTCCTTAGCAATGAACTCATAAATAGGGTTTCAATTTTCACAAGGAAGTTTGGATTTCAAATACATCAAGTGTATTTAATGGTCTATTATATGTTCCCAAGAATTCTCATACCAATTTTCATGCCTTGCATCATAAATTTGCTCAGTCAATGGCTCAGATGACTAAAAATCAACTATATTGGACAAAAACTCAATTATGGTCAACATACAGTCAAACTTCAAGATTTTTGGTCAACATCAACATTTTGAAGTGATATTCATCATTTGGTCAAGGTTTGATCATGATTCATCAAGAAAACTCTCAAATCATCAAAAGTCAAAAGTTGCCAAATTAGGGCTTTCTTAAGGAGAAGTCAACTGAACTTTGACCAAGCATAACTTTCATATGCTACATCAGATTTTCCTCAACCAAAGCTCATTCTAAAGGAAATTCAATTCTCTACATCTTTGTCTCTCTAAGCTCAATTGCAAAAAATGCTTCATTTAAGATATATGAGTCAATACATTATAGGTCATTTCAAAAGTCAACAAAAAGACACTCTTTGTCGAGGCAACTTATATCAAGATAAAGTCTCCAAATGCAAAAATGATCAAAATATAGATTGTAGAGGACATCTTTAAATTTCCAAAAAGTTCAAGATCACCTTCAAATGATAAAAATTGAGAGAGTTATGATTGGTGCAAGTTGGGAAATTTTGAGCAAATGCATGAAGTTCAAATTGAGCAAACTTGAAATTTTGGGCTATTAGACTATTGTTGCAAAGTCCAAACATGTTCTACACTTTATATACACCTCAATACTGGTTCATACACCTCCCTTGGGTTTTTATTTATTTATTTTTTATTTTTATTTAATTAAAAGTCAAAATAAAATTAAATAAGACAAGGCTTATTACAAGAGTCCAAGCCCATGTTATTTGACCTAAAACTCAAACTATATAATCTCATTCAATTCAAACATGAAGACCATGAAACACTTGCAGCAACATGACCCTCCAAAATTCACAAAAATTATCTAAATTAGGGCAACTTGCAAACCCTTATTTCATCCACCTTCAACACTTACCAGCCATTGCAATCGATTCTAGGAAGATCGTAGGGTAAGATTGGATCGTTTACAACTAAAGGCCAGAGGCACCACAAGCATGTATCACCAGTTCCAACATTTCATGGTTTTCATATCTCTTATTTCATGTTATTTTTTCGCATACTAATTGTACTAACATGTTCATGAGGTTTAATGGTGCAGGAATAACCCAAAGAACGAGTCCCGTGATGGACAAATCATGAACTACCATGTCCATACAAATTTGCGTTATTTTTGTCATAGCCCAAAACGTAGTGCGATTCAGTCCAAGATAACCATTCCATTGGATTTATAGGGCCTTATTTAGGGGGGTAGGTCTCCCTGGATCTCTAATATGTGTTGTTTTACAGGAACAAGAAATCTATTCACCGAAGAAGACGAACAGAGCTAGGGCTCCAGCGTCCCTCCAGTCCATGTGTTTTTGTTTAATATTTTTTTAATCGTTTCAGTTTAAACAATGGATGTATCACCACCCCAGTGGTTAAACGCACACGCTAAAGACACTACTATGCCAACGCGTGGGTTCGATCCCAGCCTTTTGGCATTTTGAGTTTTTTTCATACTTTCCTTGTTTTGCAACTCACAAAATGCGTTGATTCTCCTTCCTTATCACAGGCGCGCTCCTGGCTTAGTGGTGAACATGTTGGATGAAAATGCCAAGGGCGTGGGTTCAACACCCACCCCTGGAAATTTTGGGTTTTCTCTATTATTCTCTATTCTTTTTACTCTTTCCCTTATTTTCCTTTAAGTTCACAAAAATCTTTTACAAACCTAGTGTTTTTTTTCCAAAACCTTTTTCATAAACCCTAATTAAGTTTTTAGGTTTTCTTATTTAATTAATAAATTTAGGTTTTATAGGTTTTTTTTAATTTGATTAATTAACTTTTTTAAAATAAATTAGGTTTTAGGGTTAATTAACAATTTCCTTTTCCTTTTTCTTAGTCTTACAATTAGCGTAGTTTATTATTCTCGCACTTTTTATGATTATTGTAACTGCTCACAATTTGTAATAGTAATTAGATTTTTATTTTCCGCATTCCTACTTATGTAACTGCCCTGAAGCATTGTAATAGTCTAGGGCTTTACTTTCCGCCTTTTTCTTTCTGCATATTTACTGCTTTATTATTTTAACTATTACTGTTAGTAATTAGGTCATGTATGGCAAGATAAAAATAAACTGGTAGCTAACCCTAATCAAAGATAAATAATAACTAAATCATAAATCACTTTGCACACTCACCTCTAGGGTAACCTTCCTTGTTGCCTCAGAATAAAAAAATCATGTCCCTCGAACGTGGGATGCTTTAACACTACATATGTATTAATTTGACCTTTAACTTTAAGAATTGATAGCGTCATAATAGAGATTTGACTAATTTGCAAGGTCTAATTCAATTGTAATTTTTTTATTTTGTTTTAGATTTTTCATACGTCAGCTCTAACTTTTAAAAATATATATTTAACTTCTAAAAATATTTTTATTTTTATTTTTATGTAGTAATATTTATTTAATTAAAAATAATAAAGTGTTTATCTTTTAAAATTGATAAGCATACACTTGAGTTGATTTTGAGAAAAAAATTGTCAATTTATTCAATTTTGCAAAATAAGTATTAAATATTTATTAAAACTTTGGTTGAAAAGACAAGAAGAGCGGACATTGATCTACTCTCTGACCTTTGTCGGAAGCTGTTATTCTCACACTTTTCTTTCATTCTCTCAAATTTCATTCATTTTTCTACTTTCCCTTCATTTCCATCAAACAAACAAACAGAGGAATCTCAAGTTAATTCTTCGATTCTTTCTGCTGCTACAACTAAAAACCCTAAAATCAATGGAAACTCTGATAATGATGTCACAAGAAACACCTTATCAAATCTTAAACCCGTGGCGCCAGAACACTCCAGCGGATGATGATGCTATGAAAGAAAAAATTCTAAAACTTGGTATTTGCCTCTTGCGTGGTTCAGAGAAAGCCACTGCGAAGGAGCTTATGAGCCGTATTACATTGGCCATGTCAAAGGTATTGTTAAATTAATTTCAAGTGATAGAAAAATGACTTTCTTGCTTTTCTTCTATTAAATCTTAAAAGACAATATCATGATGAATTTGGTGTTTTATTTCAGCTTAAACATGGGACTAATACTGAAGACATCTTGAACGTTGATGCCAAAATTATAGTTAATTCTTCAGGTAAACTGGTTGTGGCTTCTGAAGGTGTAAAACTCTCCCTCTCCCACTTTAATACGACAAGTGTTGAACATGTTGTTTATCAACAGGTTCTTCCGGTAACGGGTATACTGCTATGGACACTACAGACGATGAAGGTCCTCTAAAATTGGTAATTTGGAAAATTTTCTTGCACCTTCGCCAGATTGTTTGGGTGTGAACGGTGCAAGATTTGATAAGTTGATGCGGCCAACATCATTATTAGAGTTTCTATCAAACTCCATCTCTGTTAGGGTTTATAGGAGCAGAGAGAATTGATCAGTAGAAGGAGAGATAAATGATGTGTTAACTTGAGATTTTTATTTTTTCGACAAATTGATTTGTGATTTTTGTTTTGTTTTTGTTTTGTAAATGATGACTATGATGTCCCGAGATTAAGACAAGTGGATCGGAAGGACGGTGTATGACCCATCTGGCACATTTTATAGCCTTTTAGTTTTGAGTTGATTGAGTTAGGGTTAAATGTTTTTTACCCCTTGCAATAGTAGCGAGATTTGATTTACCCTTTTTTTAAAAAAAATCTTTTCGCCCCTTAACAAACATAGATTCCATAACCAAAAACCTTTTAGCCAAAGATTCCATTTGAGATGCAGACGTGACCATGATCTGTTTGCTTACTGGGTAGGTTTCTCATGTTGGTTCTCCAAGTGGCAATGTTTTTTCTCTTTCCTCCAATGCTTCAGTTGGCCAACGGATTAAAGCACTCAACGGTTCTTTTTTTTTATATATATTTTAAAATTCAAAGCAGCAGCCAAGTAGCCATTGAACGGCTAGTTAATTTAATTTTTTAACTTATTTTTCAATTATAAATATAGTGTTTTAGGAAAAAATTTATCAACACCAATTTTCTTTCACTTTCATTTTCTATTAAATTTCAAGTTTCTCTCTCAAAATTTCATCCAAATTTTCATCTTTTTACTTCAACATAAAATTGTTTAGGCCAAATGGATCCTAATCATTTTCATTATCAACAAGCTATGTTCAATTACATGCAAAATAATCAAAATCCTAATTCTCAAAATGCTCAAATTCCATCAGTGTCAACAAACCCCGCCATATTTTTTATGTCACCAAACAATCCAAATATGTTTCCTAGCCCTCAAGTGAATTCTAATAGTATGGAATTTTTTCGTCATGAACCGGAAATACCGATTGGATTTATGTCTGGTTGTCAACTTCCACCCTTTTCTACTCAAGTTGGTGTTGAAAAAGAAAAAAGGGTTGACGTTAAAAAAAAATCTCGAGAGCAATTTACAAGGGATGAGGATATACTTCTTATCCAATCATGGCTCAATGTTTCAAAGGATCCAATTGTGGGAGTTAATCAAAAGGCTGAGAGTTTTTGGGTAAGAGTCGCTGCCAATTATAACCAGTACCATGGACAATCGCGGGAAAAGGTAGGGGGACAATTAAAATGTTGATGGCATCGAATAAATGGCATGGTTCAAAAATTTGTTGGGTGTTACAAACAAGCTGTTAATGGAAAGAAAAGTGGGACATCGGAGAACGATATCATGGCCTCTACACATGCTTTTTTTGCTCAGGATCAATGTACAACATTCAATCTTGAGTACGCATGGAGACTATTAAAATATGAACCTAAATGGATGGGAGAATTTATTGGAAGTTCTTCAAAAATAACAAAGACTTCCACTAGTGGGGCATCATCGGAGAACCCAGATACACATTCAAGTTATGAGTTTAACTCATCATCACCAATGGAGCGTCCAATGGGACAAAAAGCAGCAAAAAGGAAGGGTAAGACAAATAATATTCCAACTGCAACGGAAGATGCAAGGAATAAAAGAACAACGACAATGGAAAGACTAGCGCAATGTAAGGAGGACGAGATAGAAGTAAAGGTAATGCAAATCATGATGAAAGACACTTCTACTATGAGCGATAGTCAACGAGATATTCATGAAAAATATTGTAATAAGATAAAAAAAAATATGGAATGTAGTTAGTATCACTTATGTAAAATGGTCATTAGTACCACTTTAATTTATCAACACCTATGTAAAATGGTCATTAGTACCAATTTAAATTATAATAAATATTATGTTATTCAAACTAGCCGTTATTCAAACTAGCTATTATTCAAACTAGCAGTTATTCAAACCATTATATATACTACCACTAATGTCATTGTTTTCTCATTCTCATCTTATTCTTTTCTCATTTTTCTCTCATTCTTTACTCACTAAAATGGATTCAGACAATTCAGAGAATTACGATCAAGAATTTTGGGATTTGATTGAAGAAGAATTTATGGACGACGGTGATGAAGAACAACAGCTTCAAAATGAACGTCAATCTGGAAGTTCCTCTCGACCAAAGAGAAGAACAACAATAGATCGAGGTCGTGAAGAAGGGCACAATCGATTATTCAATGACTACTTCTCGAAAAATCCAATATACACAGATGTTCAATTTCAAAGAAGGTTCAGAATGCATAGGCATGTATTTCTTCGAATTGTAGATGCCCTTGGAAATCATGATGAATATTTCCAAATGAGGGTCGACGCAACTGGTAAAATGGGTCTTTCACCATTGCAGAAATGTACATATGCTATTCGTATGTTGGCGTATGGGTCTCTTGCTGACTTTGTAGACGAATATGTTCAAATCGGTGAAAGCACTTCAATTGAGTGCTTACAAAGATTCGTTCAGGGCGTGAATGTTGTATTTGGGGCTGAGTATTTGAGAAAGTCTAACAACACTGATGTTGAACATCTTTTACAAATGGGAGAGTCACGTGGCTTTCCAGGTATGTTGGGTTTCATTGATTGTATGCATTGGGAATGGAAAAATTGTCCTGTTACATGGAAAGGACAGTATTGTCGAGGTGATCATGGTAAGCCCATAATCATGCTTAAAGCAGTGGAGTCACAAGACTTATGGATTTGGCATGCTTTTTTGGTATTGCAGGTTCAAACAATGACATTAATGTGTTAAACCAATCCAACGTGTTTAACGATATTTTGGAAGGACATGCTCCAAATGTGCAATATACAATCAATGGGACACCATATAATATGGGGTATTATTTAGCAGATGGTATATATCCTGAGTGGGCTACATTTGTCAATACCATTTCAATGTCACAGGGAGAAAAGAAAAAATTATTTGCTCAACATCAAGAATCAGCTAGAAAAGATGTGGAGCGGGCATTTGGAGTGCTTCAATCTCGATTTGCAATTATACATGGCCCAGCGCGTGCTTGGCACATGGAGACCCTCAAGCATACCGTATATGCCTGCATCATATTGCACAACATGATTGTGGAAGATGAACGACATACATATGGAGGTAATTTTGATTACTCGTATGATAGTGTGGATAACAACAACTCAACAACTGAAACATTTAGCGGTCCTCATCCAAATCTTGCAACAAGACTACAAAGAAGAGCTAGTATTCGTGAAAAACAAGTTCATCGTCAACTTCAAGGAGATTTAGTCGAGTATATTTGGGAACGTTTTGGACCTGAAGATGATGAAATTTAAGTTTGATTAATTATGTGATGTTATTTATTTTTATTGTTTTTAATTATATGTCATGTATTTGAGATTAATTTTAATTATCATTTTAAATTATAAGTTTAATTTGAATTTTATTTATTTTATATCAATTTTAATTTAAATAATTAAAATTATTATTTAAAAAATATTAAATTTAATATGAATAAAATATTAATATATAAAGTAAAGTTGTGGGACCCAATATGAGTTCTTCAGAGTTGCACCATTGGAGTGAAAAACTAATTGAGTTGCTTCAAGCTGACGTGGCTTAATAGGTCCCACAAAGAACCCAAAAATGGGTTCACGATTGGAGATGCTCTTAGAGTTTCTATCAAACTCCATCTCTGTTAGGGTTTATAGGAGCAGAGAGAATTGATCAGTGGAAGGAGAGATAAATGATGTGTTAACTTGAGATTTTTATTTTCTCGACAAATTGATTTGTGATTTTTGTTTTGTTTTTGTTTTTTAAATGATGACTATGATGTCCCGAGATTCAGACAAGTGGATCGGACGGATGGTGTATGACCCATCTGACACATTTTATAGCCTTTTAGTTTTGAGTTGATTGAGTTAGGGTTAAATGTTTTTTACCCCCTACAATAGTAGCGAGATTTGATTTACCCTTTTTAAAAAAAAATCTTTTTGCCCCTTAACAAACATAGATTCCATAACCAAAAACCTTTTAGCCAAAGATTCCATTTGAGATGCAGACGTGACCATGATCTGTTTGCTGACTGGGTAATTGTATTCCACCTTGGATTGGTTATATCTAGGACTACCGTCTTCTGTCCCTTTCCACTACCCTTTTCACTGCAAATCATTTCCTCAATCTCTTTTATCCCTGTCGTCTTGCTCATTTCTTCTCTCCCTACCGTCTTGAACCATTTATGTTGTTGCTTCTTTCCCCAATTTGTTCCCCGATTTTTTCCCTACGTTCAAATGGAGGATGCTAGCAAGAGTGTTGGAAGTTGCAATTCGTACGAGCATTCAAAGGTTCCTAGATGCTGATGTTGTCGTACGATGAAGATGTGGTTTTCTAACACCATAAAAATCGTAATAGAAAATTCTATAAATGTAGGAATACTGGGGTAAGTGCTTGAATCTATGAGTTTTGTGAAATACCTAAACCTTTTATGGGGTTAATGTTGTTTTTGTTTGCAGATGGACAATAGTTGTGATATGTTTATTTGGGATGATGAGATTTCTCATTCCATTAGTGAAATCTTAAATTCTGAAAGTTATTGCAAACATTGTGATGTGGCAATAGTGAAGTTTGAACTAACAGAAAGAAAACTGGAAAAATTCAAGTTGAAGATAGTTGCATTGAAGAGGAAAATATTCCAACTGAATATGGAAATTTTGATGTCTTGCTTATCTTTGCAGTGTTGTACAATTATTTATAATTCGAAGTGTAATGTGTATTTGTAATATTTTTACAGAAGTGGGGTGTAATGTGTATTTATAATATCTTTGCAGTGTTGTACAAGTATTTGTAATTTGAGGTGTAAGTTACATCAATGCAATATGATGTTTGTTTAATGTAAACTTTGATTCAATAAGAGTGTTTCATTTTTCTTACAGTATTGTATTACCATTTAAAATCATTAAATAACCTTATCAGTTGAAACCAATACTAAAGGAGTCATTACATTAAGACATAAGTAGAACAAAATGCCAAAGTCATTACAAAAGGGTATAACAGCTTAACAAAATGCAGAAGTCTTAACTTAAGGGCACAATCCATAACAAAACTTAGGAGTCATGATTAAAGTATCTAATAGACAAAATAAGCAATACAAACATAAGACTACTTCTTAGATTTCTTCATTGCACGTTTAGAACCACTTCCTTCTTCTTCTGTCAAATACATAGGTTGCTCAGGGTTTGAACCTGGCCCTATGATTGGTTTTTGAAACCACTTGAGTTTTATTCGTTCACTGGACCTCTTTCTCACTGGCTTGGCATCTTTCACTTTTGTCTTGCCTTTTTTTTCTGGTTTACCAACCACAACAGAATACTGTGTTGTGTTGATTTCAGGAATACTTGAAATGAAATCATCAATTATGTCTCCAAAATAGTCAATTGGTCCAGTTGCTGCAGTTTGAGTTTCACCAGTTTGTATTGGTGCCTCACTTGCACCAGTTTGTATTGGTGCCTCAGTTGTATCAGTTTGTATTGGTGCCTCAGTTGCCTCAGTTTCACCGGCTTGTTGAACATCATCAGGTTGTATGGTTGTACCTACCTTGACCTTCCTATACAAAAATAAAACACATTACTTGTTAGTTCAAAATACATGATATGTCAGTTCAAAATACACACTTATCATACCTTTCTCTTTAGTCCATTAGGATCTTGTGTTGTGCTTTTACATGTTTGAGCATTGTGACCAAATTTGTCACACTTAGTGCATCTGTAAGAAACACCTGGAATTCTCCTTCTTCTAGCACCCTCTTCACCGCACTCCCTTATCCTTAACTTTCTTGGTCTGCCTGGACCTTTCTTGTACATAGGGGGTAAAATCTCCTCTGACTGAACTTCTAGCCACATTTCCTCACCATTAATTGGACTCAAAGAAAAACTATAGCAGATCGCATACTTGTCACTATAATAACAATGATCAACAAAATTCTCTGGGTTCTGTTGCCTAAAACCTAAAGCAGCAACAATGTGTCTACAAGGAAAACAAACTAAATCCCAGAAATTACAAGTACATGATCTCTTAGAAATGTCAACTATAAATTCCTGACTGTTATAGGAATGAGTGACTTGAAAATTTTCATCCATTGCGCAAGTAGGCATCCATTTATCACTAAACATAACCTCATTATCAAGTCTTTTTCTAGGAATTGACATAACCTTATGAGGACATTTTTTAAGCTTCGTGGTAGAAGTAGAGCATATGTTCATTAAATACTTTCTAATCTACTCACACATTATTAAAATTGTTTTATCCCTAACACTTAATATGGTGGTATTAAAAGACTCAGAAATATTGTTCATAAGAACATAACACTTAGGATAGAAATGGAAATCATGCTTACACCAAACCTTTGGAGGAACACCCATTAACCAAGTCCAAGCATTATGATCTTCCAGCTTCAGTTTATTCATCTTTTGTAACCATCCCTGATAGTATGTAGACTTTGCAGCCCCCATCATTAGATACTTAAAGTGTTCCCAGAATTCACTCTATGTAATTTTGCAGCACATCTTCTTAAATTTGCATATTGTTTGTCTGCATCTCCTTCAAGCATCTTCTTGGCTATGAGTTTATCCTTCCATTCCCTAGCCATCTTGATTCCCATAGAATAATTTTGCCTCAAGTCTTGAATTATATCACAGATCCTAACATTATCAAAAGTTTACATCTTCTTCAACACAACCTTAGCCACCCACCTTGAACTTGCAAATTTGTTGTCTAAAACCCTAGCACATGTGTGTTT